GAGATATGCTTTTAAATAAATTTATTAATCCGTTTTTTTCATACTCCCAAAGGAAGAATATTTTTTTCTTCGAGTGGCTATTCAATGGCTAAGGAGGAGACTGACTTTCTTCATTAACCCCTTCAGACAATTTTTTTTCAGTACATTTTGCCATCAGGCTGTCGGACAAGATTCAAGATAGTGATATCAAGAGGTGATTTCACCCATTTCGATATCACGTGTCGAGGTCGGGCGTTCCTTAATTTTAGGGTAGGCCTAACCCTCTTAAAGCTAAATATTTTTGTATTTTTTTTTTTTTGTTTGAGTCTTTTAGATCGAATGTTGCCTGAAAGAGTTGATACGCTCAAATAGAAAATATGCGAAGGCGGATATCTTAATACGGGAGGTGATTAAGATTGAGAAAAGGCGCGGAAGCACCTATTGATTTAAGGACATAAGCTACGAATACTCCATCNGGGATGGGTACTTGAACAAATCACGATTCATTGCACACGAACAGTGATTTCTCTTATCTGCCGATGTAAAGTTAAGAGATCCCTTCCACAATCTTCGTTACTTTCGAGTTCAGCGCGAAGCAGGTCGACATCATACTCTGATCCCTTTCCAAATTGGTATCTCACGCAGAAGTTCTAATCGACATATTCTTCAAAGGGATTAAGCCCAGAACCTATGTTTATTCCTCCCATGTGACGACGAGAGCACATCTCCGTTATCGAGCGGATCCATAAACAGAATCCATTGTGCTTCACCAGTACACTGCAGCACTATACTCATCGAGATGGTACACGAACGCTGGTATAAATATCGGCAAAACATGCCCCATCCCTTGTCTGGAAAAGACACCTTTTTCAGCTTCTGTTAGACATCGGTTAGACAATGGTCAAGGGAAGATAGCGTTCATGCAATCCATTTTTGGCCTTAGACATCGGTTAACCGATGACTTTCGAAAAATACCGGGAAAACATCGTTCATGCGATCGGCCCTGTATATCTACAGTATACCAGTGTTTCCCAAATGGTGTGCCGCCAGTAAGGCTTAGGTGTGCCATGAAATTTAAGAGTTGACAAAAAGCAAAAAATAAAACTGAAACTAAAAAAAATTAAAAACAAGAGTAAACGCCATCTCTCAGTGGAAAACGTGCTGAGAGTTGCACTATCACGCTTCGTATCAAACTGCTGAGTTCGGCGAAGCATGCACAAGTTTTCCATTGAAAATAAGAAAATGGCTGGGTGTTCCGTAGAAAGTTCAAGTGTCCTATGTGCCGCAAATAAAAAAAGATTGGGAACCACTTATCTATACTAATGTATTACAGAGAGTTTGTGTATCTGTCCTTTATGCACGGCCATGAATTAGGTGGCGTTTCAAAATTTGGACCCCTGCGGTACCTTATTTGATGCATATATGGTCGATTCACTACAAAAGACCCTCTCCCAAGGAGTCAAAATATTGGAGGCTCATGAAAAATATTTAATTTGCAACATGCAGCTTGCTGCTGGAATTTTGCAATTAGTTATGTATAAAAAGTTACATATTTTAAACACTTTCTAGCCGGGTTTGCCAAAGAGGCATTAATGCAAAATAAACCCTCTAATATGGGACGTATACAATATTAACCCGTACAATGACGAGCACCTCTGCTAGTGTATGAATCAACTATGGCGTTTCGTGGTTCGCGAAGACGCTGGCCTATCAAGATTTTGCCCCTCCAGGACATAGGTTTAGTACCCTATCGGCCTATGAGCCTCTGCCTTTCCAGATCATAGGCTAAGCGGAATGGATAAACCCTTACACTGCAAAATGTTTCGCTTCCGCTTGCCACCGCTGTGCGAGGATTATTTCGCGTACTGCAATACATGGAGTGAGAAAGACGTAAACATACGTTCGAGCGTTCAACAGCCTTGAACGTATAGACCCTATGAGTTTTTAATTTGATTTCTACAAATGAAAAATTGAGCGTGAAAAGATCACGGTCAATTGAATAAAGAAATACTAAGATTTAGAATAAACTTATTTGAAAGGAATTCCATAAAACCCTTAGAAAGTGGCTGATGGCACTGGCTGATGAAATAGCGCGTATGCGTCGTAGACCGTAGTTATTACACATGGAGCTCCTAAGGGGATATGGGAGATTCCTGTTTAATATACCAAAAACATTCTTAAGTACATGTTTATTCAAGATATAGAAAAGTTATTACACATCCAAAGGCGATGGGATTCACAGGTGGCACGGCACTCCGCGCTCGAGTATAAGCGCGTGTAAGCGTGGAACCACCATCTATTAATAGTTGCGGTGGCTGGGACGCCCAACGTCATTCCAGCTGTTCCGCACAATCTTGGCACAATGATCGTGAAATGCTCTTTTGAGCACTGCTGGTATGTTCATTTTGAAGCTGAGAAAGCAAACTTCGGCATAGTTGTCATAATGGTAAGGTGTTCCACACGGATCAATTGGAGGATCCGCCAGAGTTCAAAATGTTGTTTATGTGGAAATATGCAAAGGCTCGCGATCTTCACCAGTTCATCAGGCAGTGCAACAACGCAACGCGTTTTCTCCCTTGGATGCAACGATTGTCGACTTTCCCGGGAACGGCCCACCCCAAGTAGCACCGGAACGTTTAATGAATGCTCAATGAACGTCCCAATTTAAGATACTGCCAACGTGCATTGAACGTCTTTTGAAAAGTTCTATTGAGTGTTTAAATGTCCGAAACTTAGAGCGTTCAAAAACAGTTCAAATTATACATTCCCTGGACGTTCATCCAGGATGTAAAGTGAATATTCCCCAACAGTGTTTAACACTGTTGGGGAATGTTATTGGGGTGTTGCATTCGTCTTAAGTAAAGATTTGCTTTCGTGACAGGGGTCATAGGCAATCGCCTAATCAATTATTCTAATGGAGACTACTTTCTTTCCTCATTTGGGAATACTACTACAGTCGAACTCGGTTATAACGTCATCGAAGGGACCAGGTAAAAACCGTCGTTATAACCGAGGTTGCCTTTATTGGCATTCCATTTTCCTGTTTTCAAATTGATGCTATATATTAACGTCACAACTCCAGTTTACATTGGTCATGTTGCACTAGCTTCAGTTTCAAGATTGACCCACTAATCGTGATGTCCGCACTTCTTTGGACCTTGAACTTCTTTAAACTTTAGCAAGACTTCGTCGATGTCATCTCGACAGATCTAGGAAGTTCCTTGTTTTGTGACACGTTCTCGCAAGCACGGATGAAGCTGTCACGATTTTCCCAAATTGTGGAAACAGATGAACAGATGTCCATGTTCGCGCGCGACGTTAGCTTTACTTCGAGCTCTTTCTAATTAAACTAACCAAGCACACTTTCCTTTCAATCGTGAAGGCTTGCTTCTTTCGTTTTCCATTGGCCACGTTGTCAACGAGAAATGCAAATGGCGAATGAAGACATGGTGATCTTAGTTACTGGGGGTTATCCTGCCCTAACATTGCTCCAGCCACACCCACATGACTCTCAAGGAATACCGAATCCAGGAAATATAAAGCTATGGCTCGCGTCGAAATTGGGAGTCCCGGATGAACGCGTTTCCTTCGAGGGAAATCCAAAATGTGGTCCCTTAGGATGCTCTCCATGATCTTTCCCGGGATACTCGTGAGACTTACCTGCCTATAATTCCCCGGATGACTCTTTTCTCCCTTCTTAATGATCGGTACGACGTTCGCTAGTCTTCAGTCCTTAGGTACTTCACTGCGCGAAAAACTGCTTTCAAATATATCTCTTAGCGGAACCGATATTTCTCTCGCAAGTTCCTTGATGACTCTCGCAGGAATCCCATTGGGGCCAGTCGCCTTGCCCACCTTTAACTTCCTTTTCATATTCAAGATCGTCTCCTCGGTGATGGAAATATCCGCAATGCGCGCCGAAGTCACCTCCTCCAAAGTCGGTGCCGAGTCGGATTCCACAGTGAAACTGTAAGCGAAGAACTCGTTAAATATTCCAGCCATATCTTTATTACTTGCAATCGATTCCCCCCTGCCGTTCATTAGAGACCGGATCGATTGTTGACACCCACCACTAGCTTATCGAAAAAAGCCTTTGGGTTCTTCTTAGCATAGTCCGTTCTATCTCTCGTGCGCCTATACGTATCCCATTTCCGCTTCTTACACTGATGAGTGCTTTGGTTTTACCAGTAAACCAGACCGGTTGCCCGACAGATTTCGTGGACTTCTTGGGGACGTATTTCTCCATAAAGCCTTGCAATAACGTCTGGAACGCCCCCATTGCTCCTCTACCGTCAGCCCACGGAACCGCACCTCCCAGTCGATATCTGAAACGCATTCACATAGCCTCTCAAAATTAGCCTTCTTATAGTTGAACGAAACCGCCGGTTTGGCGTTACTCTTCGCCTGCTTGATATTCCACGTGATCGCGCAGTGGTCCGAATCTCCCAAGTTATCCTGTACCTTAACGTCTAGTGCCAGATCGTCGTGCATTGCAAAAACTATATCCAATAAAGCTTCCTCGCGAGTTGGTTCATTTACGTACTGAACGAGAAGAGCTTCTTGAACCACAATGAGAAATTCCCTATCCCTTTCGCACCCCCCTTGCGGCACCGACCAATCTACGTTTGGCATGTTAAAGTCTCCAAAGAGCAATACCTGCTTCGAGATCTCATCGATCTTATCTATGACCTATCCTTTATTATGCTAAAGTCAGTTTTATACAATCCACCCATAGGCCTTGAGGCTATCCTCATAACTGATAAATTCACAAAGCTGGAGCTAGCTATCATCCCATGTTATAACTGGATGTATGCCACCTACATACTACTTGGGGCTATACCTTCCCACATGAAAATTTCATAAGACCATATAATGGAATGGTCATACATTTAGCCAGTCTGATATATAGGGTGATTTTTAAAAATGCCTTATGATTTTCTATGGGAGAAACAGCTTCATAAATACAAAGAAAATGACCCGTTGGCTATGTGATCGACATTGGATGGTTACAAGGTGCTGAGATGCATGTAAGTTATTTTTTTCAGCACCCCTGCCTAAGATGCATAATGACCATCTACATTGGTTAGAGATGGATCGTTCCACCTTAAGTGAGATAGTGATCTGTGTTTGACCATCTCAGTCAACCAACCAGTTGACCAGCCCAACCAACCCCTATGTGCTAACTTCCTAACTACATGGTTATTATAAAGTCACCACCCTAATTTGATTGGTCTTAACTTTTCAAGGGACAGTTGAATGCAGCTGATACTTACCAGAGAGGTTCATGAATCTAAAAGGCTTTTTGACACACCACAAGATGGCACTGCATACGAATAGAGAATGTTGTAGTCAACCACAGTGACCCCTGTCTACATTCCATGCTATGTCTTAAATGAGAAAAAAAAAAAGATAGGACCTTGAGCCTCTGTGCCATATATCAGTTGCATCTAAATGCCCTTTCAAAAGATATGGTCAAGGAACATTGGATGATGACTTGTAACCATCTAACTTTATTTGACCATGTTTGTTGCTCAGAAATTGCTCAGATTTTAACAAAATTACATTTTTAGGTTTGTCTAAGCACACCCTTTGAAATATGTACATATCTTTAGCACTAGAACTACTGGAATAGTCAATTAGACTGCTGTATCAAAAGTAGTATCAAACTATTCTTCTATAAAATTTTACTTGTTTTTTCTAGATGTTATTTGGTATGTTCAAAATTGTAAAATGTTTGAAATGGCAATATTATATCAGCTGTGGAGGCCCTTAGTTGCCAAACAAGTAGGGTAAATTGCTTTTTCTGAATGACCCTTTATGTGGAAGCATATACACATATAAAAAAAAGTTTTGCACCACCCCCAGATCTCTACAGGGTTCTTGCTGCTATATTTTTGGTTATAACTTTGCTGTATTTCATCCAAATTCAATCAAAACTTTTTATCAAACATAACAAACACATATGGCAACAATATACTCTAAGGATTTTTCAAAATGTCCACTGTCAGCTGAGATACAGGCTTTTAAATGCTTTGGAAATTTGTCCACGATGGCCATCAGCTGTTCGACCTTAACACTTTCGCTGCCATATGACCCGCCGGCGGGTCATAAGGGCTCTCTCCTCCTAGGCCATACGACCCGCCGGCGGGTCGTACGTTCTCTCATCTCCTGGGTCATATGAGCCACCAGCGGGTCGTACAGGTCCTTTCTACCAGATTATATGACCTGCCGACAGGTGGTTTGCATTTTGACAAAGTTCTATTAATTTTTTCGCGAGGATTATCCCTGAGGAACTGATCCATTAGGCAAAAATCAAATGCAGATTCGTACCTCCCCATTGGCAGTCACATGGCTGTTCACTCAGAAAATTTGACCAATTCGATTAAATCTGTCATGACTCAAGAGTAGATGGGCAAAGGTGCATATACTGTACTTCAACAGCTCTTGAAGAACCTCATCAACAAGGTATCTTTACATTTTCGCTGAAGAATTTATCTGTTTAAAGAAATGTTCAAGTTGCTTAATTTTTTCCAGTCAACCCTCTAGTTCAACCTGACTTGCAACACACATTTCCTTTTGTTTGAAAAGAGCTTAGAACAGACTGTAACCCATTCTTGGCAAATTTGTCCAACGCGTTGGTGACAAGTTGATTGGCAAGTGCCTATGTCGTCGAAGCGGCGGCCATTCATCGAAGGCACCTCATTTTTGGAATCAGCCTGAAGTCATAAGGTTGGAGGTCCAAGGAATACAAAGAATGTGGGAGCAATGGCACTCCAAGATTGGTTAGAAATTCAACGGTACGACATAGGTACTGTTTGATTGCCGACAGTCATTGTGGACAAGCTCAGTTTCGTCATTATAGCTTGTCGATTGCCACCCCATGCGTTCATCATCTCCAGTGGATCCCCACCTTTCACAGAATTGCTTGTGTCATCCACACCAGAATTAGGAGGATTACTTTGGCCTCAGGGGAACAGCCTCCAAATAATGGCTTGGCAGCGAAAGTGTTAATGTCATCCCAAGTCTTAAGAAAACCCTTCTTCAGCAAATCCACACCCATAATGAATTGTTGTACATCCAAAATTTATATGAAATGCCACTGGTGTACATACATCAGTGCCATTTGCTCATAATGTCTGTGTATATGCTATACACAACAACTTTGAAACAAAACTGCTACATGAGCACAATGGGTGATAAGTAACCATGGGTGAGTTATTCATTATGTGGTGTCTGTATGTCAATGTATGTGGACTCATACAGGAGTCTATTCAGGAAGTCATTGTGAGTCATTTTTATTCAGCAGATTACATGTGCTGGGCACTTGCCTATGTGCTACCTTCAAATAAGCTGCAAAGAGTTCCCTCTGGAGTGGCAATCATTTTATACTATCAGGACATTCAGATTGATTGATGTCTGCCACCTTCACTGCTATACTAAAGTTGGAGAGTGCCCAGAACCAATGGTTACAAGGGCTTCTTTCCTCGTGGAATCAGGTCCAAGTCACAAGGGCTTGAATGGGGTGTGTACAGGGAGTGTAAAAATTTCATGGCTTCATCCTTCTGGGAATGTACTCAGATTTTGTGAAATGGTATGTCATAAATATGTTCATGGAGAATGGTGCTGTCCTACACTAGGAGTTAGGGACAATGACAATGAATGACCAGACACATTTTCTTTGACAGGAATACCTAGTTAAAGCAGTGTAGTACTAGGAATTCCTAAGAAACTGCATTGTGCTATTCAGTGACTTCCTCCTCAACTCCTGGCTTAAGACACCCATCATTTTCATGGAGAATGATAAATGGCATTTTGCTCATTCTCAGCATACCCCTTCCAGAAGGGGGCTAGGAGGTCATTGAACATCCACAATGCTCACCTGATCTGAGCCCTTGTGACTATGACCTGATTCCAAGTTGAAAGAATCTATCCATGGCAGTCAGTTTTATGCACTCAACCACCTTGGCATAGCAGTGAACAGAGTGGTAGCAGACATCAACCAATCTGGAAGTGTTGATGGCATAATGCAGTTTTTGCAGTTGCCACACTTGGGGAATTCTGCCAAGAAACTCTCTGGGACAAATTTGAAAGTTTCATAGATGGGTAAGTATCCTTATGCAATGTTGTTGGTGCCTAAAAAATTACTAACAATGACTTCTGACTTGACCCTTACATTTAAAAATGCACCATCAACTCAGTAGAATTGTCAATCAATATATGGAGACCCCTTTATGGCAGTTCTTTTGGTAATGTGATTGCCACTCTGGAGGTACTCTGTCATGGACCATTTGGGAAACTACTTTAAAGGTTATTCATTGCTAATATTTTATCTATAATATAATGGGTGCATTAAAAATCATTTGCAGAGACCTTAAGGGTCAATGATCCCCATGTGCAACAACCTTTGAACTTGTTTGTGGATATCCACCACACATCAGACATGATGCCATTAACCTGTTACACTCGATATTGATATACAGATAAAATACACAGTGATTATTAAAAAAAACTGTAATTTTTGGTGAACTGTCAATCTGATTGTAGATGGTGATTCTTATGAAATTTAGTAGACATATAGGGTGACTTAATTGGGGTTTATGTGCCAAATTTCATATCAAAATTCCAAAAAACTGTGAGAATGGTATTTCATTTACTTTTGATTGCAAAATAGTGTTCCTTTTTTTAACTTAAAATTTCACCTCCAGATTCATTAATTTTTCAAATGACATATTCAAGCCCACTCCTCAACAAATTATTGCTTAGAAATTCACTCATCATTTTGCATGCACCATATCCTATTTCAAGATGCAAGTTTTTTAGAAAAGCAAGATGTGTGTCTCTTATTTTAGGTATTTTTGCCAAAGCACTTTCACCTGAAATGCAAAAAAAGAAAGATGTAAAATTGTTAGAAAATATGAAATTCTGCTTAATATTTGGCAAACTAGCCTAGGCTTTTATTTATTTATTTATTGTAAGTAGGTTGAAGTAAGGTTGTAAGTAGGTTAATCTAGCCTTGCTTATAAACAAAATTAGCTCATTGTGGTGGGCTATCATGTATTCTTTCAATACAGACATGTTGATATTGATATGTTCAAGAGCACATTTTGTTGTGTCATCAGAAAACAATTGCAGCTCCCTTAATTTTTGAGCCAACAAGCTGAAATTCAGCATACAACCTCCAACTGAAGTGACCCTACAATCTGTCCCAAAAAAATTTGAACTCTTTTTCAATGTTTAGCCATTCGTAATTGGTTCAGACTATTGCTGTGCACTTTTGAGGACTGACTAAGACATCAAATGAGCATATGCATGCAAAGTTATAACAATATTCATTTGCTAGTTCCTGAAATACAGGAGATTATTCAGAGCATACCAGCAGTAAGGGAGTGCAGCCAGAACTGCATGGGCACATTATTCCAAATTCATTATTGTGCCTCATACAGGATGACTGACATGATGTGCACAACCAAGATAACTTCAATAATTTTCTCTGTTTGACACTCGGATGATGTGCTCGAAATGCACTGTGTCAGTCAGTGAACAGTCATGTGACATTGATTGAAACCCAAACGCTACACAGTTGGCATTCTCCTGCGATGTGGGAATAGTGTGTTTCCACTCTGGCTGGCTGTGCCTGCGCTGAGTGCAGCCAGTGGAAATGGTCTGACTCAACCTGGCTTAGAATAAGCTGCTGCATCTCCGATATGAATTGATGGATTTTGATACAACTTTGCAAGCATGTGCTCATTTGATGTCTTAGTCAGCCCTCAAAAGCACATAGTGATAGTCTGAACCAATAACAAGAAGCTACAATTGAAAAAGAGTCCAACATTTTTTCAGACAGAGTGTTTATGTCCATACAAATTTATTCAGAATTGCCAGCCTGCAATCAGATTGACAGCTCACCATAGATGTCTGCTTTGTTTTTTTTTGATCACCCTGCATATTACACCTCTTATAATTTATAATACAATGTATATGACTACATATGTGGTGGTATATGGCAGATATATGATCATGTAGAACCATATACCCTGTTGTATGAGGAATTTTCTTGTGACTTGTGGGAAACCTTTCCAATTCTCTGAGTGCATGAAATAGATTTCACTAGCAAATCATTCCTACTGATTTATGAATGGATTGGAAATGGGATCCCCTCTGGTTCTGACTGATTCATGATTGAAACCCAACTAGTTTCAAACTTGAAGCAGGACTGATTCCAGTAGCATTCTAGTCCAATTTTCCTTCTAGCATGGAACCAGTTTGCTTGACCAACCTGGATCCAGCATGAGAATTCAGCAGGAATCTTTGATTGGAAGCTGAATTCCCTATTGTTCCTTATAGGCCTCGAGCATGTGGGTCCATCATATCGCACCATGTGTGGGATCCTGATTGAATATGTGTTTGCTCTTGGGGAGATAGCTCTGGCTGGGGTGGCCTTTCTGGTACGACAATGGAGATACCTCCAGGTCATTTCAGCTGCCCCAGCCCTCCTCTGCCTTCTCTACTTATGGTTTGTCTGCTCCCTCCAGATGTTTTTTATATGACTGATTTTTCTTCTCAGAGTCTTTGGAGCCTCAATGGTTGCCATACCAATGTTATTAGGAAGGGTTGAGGATTCAATAATTTAAATAGAATATGTTTCTGCAATTCTGCCATTATATACTTGTATATCATTTATTGTGTAATTGTAGGGATCACTTTCCCTATTGTAATGTATTATTTTTTATTCATCTCTTTGGTGTGTTTTCAGTTAGAAAGTCATAGGACAGGACATAAATCTTAACCTTTTCCTTTCTCTTTGCAGGTACTAACCTGACCTGATCTTGAAACTACTGATTTTTGTGATCATTCCTGTTTTTCCATGTTCTATGTGTGCATTACATGCTGCAGTCAATATAATTTTTTTTGGAAATTTCACATTATACATGTAACACTCTTCTAGAATATTTTTACCATGTCTTTCATTTTGTCTTATGACTTTTCAACCGTTCTGTATTTGGACAATGGAGGAGTGTCATCAATTTTTCTCTCATGAAAGATGAATTATGGCATAGGTGGGTACCAGAAACTATCCGGTGGTTGTTGACTAAGGGGAAGACCCTGGAGGCATTGAAAGTTGTGGAGAGAGTAGAACGGATCAATGGCGTTTGTATCTCAGCTGCTGTCAAGAATAAGGTTTTTCAGGTCTGTCACAACTCCTTGGTATCAGCATCTTTCTTTCTGTGTCTTTGAACTTGAGTTTGTGATTCAACCTTTAAGTAAAAAATTTTCTTTAACCCTGTAACTACCATTCTGGGTCCAATTGACCCTGATAAAAAAAGATTTAGCCATTTGTGTAGGCTGCACTATGGTCTGGTTCTCAGTGTATTGTCATGAAGACATGTGATAGTCTATTTAAAGATAGTCAACGCTATTTAAAGAGATTCTTTGGGGATGAAGAGGTGAAACAAAGAGTTAAACCTTTGACCATCTGGGTTCTGGTAGTTACAGGGTGACCTACAGGGTGCCCAGAAAAAAAAGTACACCATTATATATTTATGAGATTCTCAGCAACCAACAGGCCAAACTACCTAAAAACTTGAATAAAAAGAGTTCAAATAGTCAGGAAACATGCCTTAAAATATTAGAGATGGGAGTGGTCATAGACCTATAAGATGTATAATTCAGCACTTACATAAAAAGCCCATTGAAGCAATGAGGGGAAAATATTCAAAAATCCTTGATCTAGTAGGCCTTCAAGGGAATGGTATTGTAGTACCTGAAGGAAAAAGGAGAGAGGGAGAGAGATAAATAAATGGGGGAGAAAGGGAAGGGGGGTTGAGAAAAGGATATCAGGAGCCAAACAAGAAATGGATAGAAGGGCTGATGCCATCCAGGTACCAAGTTGAAATTTAAGATGATTTTCTAACGAACAGCAAGATTCCTGGGAAGGGTGAGAATGATGTAGACCCTGCGCTGCGCTCTGATATTGTCTGCAGAGTGATTTGGAAGACAGAAATGAGATGGAACTGGCTATGAAGATTTGATACAAATGCCCCAAAGGTGTTCCACAAAACGATCCCCCAAGCGACATCCAATTTCACTTACATAAAATTTGGAAGAGCAGATGGTGCAGAGATGAGATAGATAACATCTTTGGTGCAGCATGTGATATTTTGCAAGATTTTGAAGTGTCCCTTGGGACCTTTGTGGAGAGAGAGTAAGTAATGAAGGGACAGGTGAAACGAGGGCAACCACGAGGGGACTTCCCAGCTGTGCATGGGGAGCAGAGTTTGGGGTGGGAAACTAGGTTCATTAGGTGGATCAGTTTAACCTGAACCCTGATTCATATCATGTAATGAAATTATCTCAAAATTAGACCAAACGGTTTATTTTATTACCTCAGTTCAAACAAAAGCAACAATTATTGCAAAGAAGGAACAGTCAATGCATTAGTTTATATTTGGAGATGTTGAGCAAAGTCATTGGCAATTTCCTGATAAGATTCGAGCAGTGCATTGAAGCCAGAGGTGGCCATTTTGAAAACAAGTGATTCTATTGTGATCCCAAGATTGTAAACTTTGTAAAGTAAAACTTTGTTTTTGTTTTCACTGGTCATAAAAATGTGGTAATTTTCAATAAATTGTTTCATTTTTTAAATAGTCTGGGTAATTTTGTGGCATCCTGTATTTTCCTATATTTTTTGATTGAATAAGGGTATTTTTTAGGATTTAATGAAAAATGGTTACAAAATGACATAAATGATAGATTATATGATACTAATCCACCTGATATTTTAAGGAATGTTTCCTAACTAGTTGAATTCTTTTTATCCCATTTTTTAGGCAATTTCATCTGTTGGTTGCCAAGAAACTCATTTATATCAATATATAATGGTGTACTTTTTTCTGGGCACCCTGTACATGTGTCTTATCAGTAAGTCTTAAATTATTACTCTGAATAATTTAATCAGAGCATTTACACGCTTCTGAACAAAAATTAATGCTAATTTCAAAGTTCACCTGTGTCCCAAGGCAACATCTTTTTCTTTTGGCCTAATCCTTGGAAAGCCTAAGTTTTATAACTTGAGTGAAATTTTATGGCTGCACTATCTTTTGACATCAAATGCAAAAATTTCTGTGACTTAATAATAAACATAGGATTCATAAAAGGTATCCTGGATTAGATATCCAGCAAAAAATCATATAATGCATCACTAGCTGTCAGTTCCTCATGTGGAGTACATAGCCAAAAATGTTACTCCTTTGTATTCATATTTGCTGAGAACATCATTGCCATTCACGCAGTGAGAGGGTTTTATGAGCAATAGCTGAATTTGTAATAATGATTGATTAGCCTTTGAGATAAAAGAACTGTGTTTGTACAGATCATGAATGTATTAAGGTATTATGTTTACTATTGTCCTGCTGAGGTGATGAGTGAACCATCATTTCTTCTATTACCACTTTCTTCTTTCAATGATGAAAAGTATGGCATTGATTGCAGTGAATGTTGAATTCTTTTTTTATGCACAGTGTACAGACTGGTGTTGCTTTTTATTTTTTGTTATGGCTAAAGCATACTCTATAATGTTTCTAGATTGACTTTAACAACATACTACCCTTCTCTGTCACTGTTGTTCATGATGCAGGAATGACACCTAGTAAATGGAATTGTCATTAATTATGAAAGGGACTGATGAATGAAGTGGATAGAGCAACATCCCTTCCCAAGCAAGGGAACTGCTACTTCACAACTCAACAGTATAACCCATAGGAAAGTATGGAGCACATGTAAATGGGGTAAAAGGCAATCAGGAAATAGTATTTTTCCTTCATTTAAATTAGCAATTGTACTGTGAGGGCTGTTAACTATTCCTGAATTAATGTTTAAGCAAAAACCTAATCTAGAAACTGATTTTCATTCAGAATGATATTCATTCAGAATGCGAATGAAAGCTTTTCAATAAGGTGAAGAATTTGACTCTTTCGTCAAAGGAAGATAACTACTGGATGTAACCTGTCTTATTACATTATAGGAGGGGGTAGAAGGGACAGACTATGATGAGAAGCACCAGAGGAGGGAGAAGATGACCAAGGGTGATGGGAGGATGAGCCTTTGGGTCCTCCTCCACTCTCCCAGCCTCCTCATTCGTACCATCAACCTCTGCTATGCATGGTCTGTTTCTGTACAAAGAAGGTATTCAGAAGCATTGAAATTGCTCATGAGAGTTAACCTCTTCAGACCCTGTGGCATGTACACATACCAAAAATTAACACATTGCAACCCCTGCTGATATCGCTTTTATGATCACACTTTAAGCCATAGAAGTATTAAACAGAGTTCTTGAAAAAAATGCATGCACCTCATTGGACTCAGTTTGCATCACAGCAGGGGCTTGTGAACTAAGCACTTCTTTGAATATGGCCACCCATATCGTCTGCGATTATAAAAGCCATTGCCAATTGCTCATTATTGACCCTAAAATTATGATACATGTTGAATTGCATTGGCAAATAGTGTGGGAAACTGTTTATAAATAAAGGGATACCTGACTTATCAAAGAGCTTTTATGGGATAGGTCAAAACATAGATGGGATGTACATATGCCACGAGGCATTGCGCCAGTAAATTTGCGTTTCAGGGTCCAAATACATGTAATTCCTTCATCAATTTGAATGCAGTGGCATTGATGTACCTGACATGTGTTGGACCCCTTCTAGCACCAGGCTAGCGAAATCTAAGAGAGACTAGAATGGAGATGAAGATATGGACAGTGGCAGATCTGGGGAGGGGGGGGGGAGACGAACCACCTCTCATGATTGTTTCAGGCACATATTTACAGGCAGTGCCTCCCACTTGATTCACCATTTCTTCATTCACCAAAGAAACCATTTCTTGTGGTGCTGTTCATATACTGTGTATTTGAAAAAGTGAGAACCACAGTACAGAGGACCCAGGGGATTAATGACCACTCCCTAATGAACAGGGTGGGGAGTGTGGGGTACCGCTGTGCTTCATTTCTGAAATACCATCCAGCCTAATTGCTACTATTGCTGGTGCAATGACAGTGACAAGGCCTAGAAACATTTTTGAATACAATCATTGATGACTGGCTTCCATAAGTTTCTTTTATGGTTAAAAAATGCACGTTCTCAATGGCACACCTCTATGGAGGGAAACCCTGTGGTATGTACACATCCCACTCTATTCCTCCAATGCCAAGGAGGATAAAAATATTGTGTTTCTTGTTTTGACCATTGGAGGTGAAGCTTAGGCAACGAGCCAAAGGATTTCAAAATTGGCAAGCAACTTTGCCCTTGGGTCTGAAGAGGTTAATGAAAGTAAGAGTAAGGTTTTTACATTGGTCAAAATAACAATAAGTCTCTGAATGAGTCCAGCCTAGATTAAACTGGAGGAGGCAAATGAAGGAAGAGATCTAGGGATAGCTATTGATGAGGAGCTCAAGTTATCCTTGTACAAACAGATGACAATAGCTGAATGTAACAGGATTCTAGGCTTCATCCAGCATTCCGTAGTCAATAAACACTCATGCGTTGTTATTCTGTTGTGTGTGGTGCTGGCTAGGCCCCATTTGGAATATTGCATTCAGTTTTGAAGGCCACAAATGAAGGTGAACTAACAGCACTCTAGGGGGTCCAGAGGTGGACTACAAATATGATCAAGGAGGTACAGGGACTCCCATATGAAAAGTGTTGAGAAGTCTTGGGACTGTATTTGCTTGAGAGAAGGTTAACAAAGGGGAAACTCATCCAGTTATTTAAGATCCTTAACACGTTGGCGACAATGCGTCCTGATGCCAGGATGCAGATTTTTTGCCACGTGGGACAATGCGTCCTGATGGCAGGATGCAGGTTCCAAAAAATGTCTTGTGCGCAGATATCGAGTATCTAGCGTCATAAAAATGTGGTAATTTTCAATAAATTGTTTCATTTTTTAAATAGTCTGGGTAATTTTGTGGCATCCTGTATTTTCCTATATTTTTTGATTGAATAAGGGTATTTTTTAGGATTTAATGAAAAATACATGGCAGTGTATTAAATAAAAGATGCTGAGTACTGTAAATTAGCAGGGCAAAAGTTGTACTTATGCAAAAATTTGACAATGGTTACAAAATGACATAAATGATAGATTATATGATACTAATCCACCTGATATTTTAAGGAATGTTTCCTAACTAGTTGAATTCTTTTTATCCCATTTTTTAGGCAATTTCATCTGTTGGTTGCCAAGAAACTCATTTATATCAATATATAATGGTGTACTTTTTTCTGGGCTCCCTGTACATGTGTCTTATCAGTAAGTCTTAAATTATTACTCTGAATAATTTAATCAGAGCATTTACATGCTTCTGAACAAAAATTAATGCTAATTTCAAAGTTCACCTGTGTCCCAAGGCAACATCTTTTTCTTTTAGCCTAATCCTTGGAAAGCCTAAGTTTTATAACTTGAGTGAAATTTTATGGCTGCACTATCTTTTGACATCAAATGCAAAAATTTCTGTTACTTAATAATAAACATAGGATTCATTAAAGGTATCCTGGATTAGATACCCAGCAAAAAATCATATAATGCATCACTAGCTGTCAGTTCCTCATGTGGAGTACATAGCCAAAAATGTTACTCCTTTGTATTCATATTTGCTGAGAACATCATTGCCATTCACGCAGTGAGAGGGTTTTATGAGCAATAGCTGAATTTGTAATAATGATTGATTAGCCTTTGAGATAAAAGAACTGTGTTTGTACAGATCATGAATGTATTAAGGTATTATGTTTACTATTGTCCTGCTGAGGTGATGAGTGAACCATCATTTCTTCTATTACCACTTTCTTCTTTCAATGATGAAAAGTATGGCATTGATTGCAGTGAATGTTGAATTCTTTTTTTATGCGCAGTGTACAGACTGGTGTTGCTTTTTATTTTTTGTTATGGCTAAAGCATACTCTATAATGTTTCTAGATTGACTTTAACAACATACTACGCTTCTCTGGCACTGTTGTTCATGATGCAGGAGTGACACCTAGTAAATGGAATTGTCATTAATTATGAAAGGGACTGATGAATGAAGTGGATGGAGCAACATCCCTTCCCAAGCAAGGAAACTGCTACTTCACAACTCAACAGTATAACCCATAGGAAAGTATGGAGCACATGTAAATGGGGTAAAAGGCAATCAGGAAATAGTATTTTTCCTTCATTTAAATTAGCAATTGTACTGTGAGGGCTGTTAACTATTCTTGAATTAATGTTTAAGCAAAAACCTAATCTAGAAACTGATTTTCATTCAGAATGATATTCATTCAGAATGCGAATGAAAGCTTTTCAATAAGGTGAAGAATTTGACTCTTTCGTCAAAGGAAGATAACTACTGGATGTAACCTGTCTTATTACATTATAGGAGGGGGTAGAAGGGACAGAGGATGATGAGAAGCACCAGAGGAGGGAGAAGATGACCAAGGGTGATGGGAGGATGAGCCTTTGGGTCCTCCTCCACTCTCCCAGCCTCCTCATTCGTACCATCAACCTCTGCTATGCATGGTCTGTTTCTGTACAAAGAAGGTATTCAGAAGCATTGAAATTGCTCATGAGAGTTAACCTCTTCAGACCCTGTGGCATGTACACATACCAAAAATTAACACATTGCAACCCCTGCTGATATCGCTTTTATGATCACACTTTAAGCCATAGAAGTATTAAACAGAGTTCCTGAAAAAAATGCATGCACCTCATTGGACTTAGTTTGCATCACAGCAGGGGCTTGTGAACTAGGCACTTCTTTGAATATGGCCACCCATATCGTCTGCGATTATAAAAGCCATTGTCAATTGCTCATTATTGACCCTAAAATTATGATACATGTTGAATTGCATTGGCAAATAGTGTGGGAAACTGTTTATAAATAAAGGGATACCTGACTTATCAAAGAGCTTTTATGGGATAGGTCAAAACATAGATGGGATGTACATATGCCACGAGGCATTGCGCCAGTAAATTTGCGTTTCAGGGTCCAAATACATGTAATTCCTTCATCAATTTGAATGCAGTGGCATTGATGTACCTGACATGTGTTGGACCCCTTCTAGCACCAGGCTAGCGAAATCTAAGAGAGACTAGAATGGAGATGAAGATATGGACAGTGGCAGATCTGGGGAG